GCCCTAATCTATCCAAAATGCTGCTATTAGAGTCACTTTTTTACTTTTCTCAAAGACCTTCAAAGCCAGTCCCACAGCCTATAGAACATATTATGAATTATTTTTAGCATTTTTTTAAAGCTTTTCATGCTCTGGAAAGGATCCCCTTTTGCTGTTTCAATTTCAACCACTTGTTCTCGTACTTGGTATGTTGTAGAATAATGCACAATAATTTTCCAGAGCTTCTCTGCTGATACATTTGCTCAAGTCTATTATTCCAGTTAGAATGTCTTTTCCCTTACAAACTTGCTTGTTATAATGGATTTAGCCCTCAAAACTCAGCCAAACACCATCTTCTTTTTAAAGTCTTTTCCCTATCTCATTAGCTAGCAATTCATGGGTTTGATTTGTCCTTGCACAGGGCACTTAAATTCTAAGTAGCATTATGGTTACCTCTGCTTCTATACCGATTACAGTCTCCAACAAGACAAGAACTGAATTTTGTTAATATTTTAATCACAAACAATTCCAAGCAGGTTCCCTTACACATGGTCAGTGTTATATAAAAGTATGTTGAATAGAACTGACCAATGAGGGAGAAATGTATTAATCACTTGTCATAAGTATTCACCGAAAACTTCCCTGCCTCCTGATTGTACTAAGTTACCAAATCCTAAAAGTGTGTCTACTTCAATCTAAAAGTTTTTAGCAGATGAAGAACCTGAGGACCAGATAATTCAAGTGATCTGCTTATCTTCACATAGTTAATTAAGCGCCTAGAACTTAGATATGCAAAGTTCCAGCCCACTCTTTCTATTTTACCAGGCTGCCCGTCTGTGAGTAAGTTGGAGTTTAGATCAAGTTTTTGACCTTGGAGTAATTTCATGATATTAGTCGTAAGGATATTTTCATTATCTGCACCACCATTAAGCAACACAGTATCCAGTTTCTATGTTATTTTAAGGGTTTAGAATTGTACATCTAGATCAACCTAGCAAATATATCTTACAAATGTTTAAGAAGAAGTGGAGTTATAGGAATAAGCCTTCCATAAGCATTTTCACTTAGGCTCTTTTCATGGCTTTTCAAAACATAGGCTTTTAAAAAAGCGCAACTGTTATTATTTCTCATTTGATAATAATGCCATGAAGTAAGAAAAATATTCTCATTTTTCAAATGAAGAAAAAAAGTCTTAGAGATTTTAACTGACTGCTAAATCATATGTAGAAACATGACTTATACTCAGGTCTGTGGGTGTTGTGTAAAGGGCATTGTATTTTGCAATAGAGATCCTTGTTTTTGCCATTATCGTTTTTTAACACAGACTGTCACAATGATACATGTGCTTGTGGGGGTTTATATCTAATTCATTTTGCTGATAGTAGTTCTAAGGGATTTGAAATATCAAGAATAAGGTAGAGAAAGGTAGTTACATTTTCCACGGAAGATATGAATTAAAGGAAGGTTGACTGTATTCTGATTTATTTGGGAATGTTAAATGATCTTGGTGAAAATTCTACTTCTATGATGGGACCTAACAACTTATTTTGAATTTTCATTTAGTGTACTCCTAAGTAATGAGCACATAGAGAAAAAAAGCAGAGTTATGAAAGATATAAATGTATGTTACACTAATTTTTAAAATGTTCATGTATAGCTTTCATTTGCTTTGAGTGAAAGACAATATGGACAATGACGAGAAAAGCTTATTCCTGTAAAGTTGCCCTTCCCTTAAGCATTCTGAAATATATTTGTTAGATTAATGTGCATCTAGTTGCACACCTTTAAATGAACATCGAAACTAAGCACTGGGCATCCAATTACAGTAGCCATTATAGTTCTTATTATTATTGCAAAAGTAGTATTTTGCTTTTTATTATGTTTTCTTTCTCCAGACAATAGATTGCTTTTCCAATAAAAGAACAATAGCTGACAAATAGCACACACTAAATATGTGAATGAAGGAAGGAATATAATTACATTTTAAATAAAATATATAGATGCTGCGTACCTTGTATTTTTCTCTCTCCATGATTATACTTCTTTTAATGAATTACCATTCACTAAAAGTTATTTAGTTATTTTTACATGCGTGGTGGCTATGTGAGTGTGTGTGTGTGTGTGTGTGTGTGTGTATGTGTGCGTTTCCAATAAAGCATTTAGACACAGGTCTTCTATTGAGTGCTATGACTACCAGAGATTTGGAAATATCTTTTACATGAAATATACCTATATCTTAGAGAATGCATATTTTTGCTTTGAAATTCTAGAAAACAGTCTCTATAGCACTCTATAACTGGAATTTTCTAGACATGACAAAATGATAGTATTGGTTACAGACAAGATAATATAGTTTTTTTATACAAAAAATCCAATTATACTAATATTCAAAGTTTGATGGGAGAAGGAAAGAAAAAAGACATTTTATTATTTAAAAACTGAAGCATTTAAACTTAGATTAAATTTTAAAACATAAATCTCACATCTTAAAAATCAGTGAAAATTCATGAATAGGAAATAAGCTTGCTCTTCCTTTTCTTCCTTAAAAGAGCCTAACTTTCTCACTCTTTAACAATAGATGTGGTACATTGCTGCTCTAAGAATTCTTCCTCTGTCTAATGGATTTCTAAACTGAGAACCATTGGTTTTTTTTTCCTTCCTTATGTCCTTTACCTTTTTAAAATTTCATATACATAAATTATTTGAGAGAATAAACCAGAAGGTTTTACTGTGGTAGTATTTACAGATTTAGATAGATTACAAGAGGCTATGAAAAGTAAGTACTTACGTCTCCTTTATTAAACAAATTGAAGCGTTCCACATCGATGTATCCTAGAAGAAGTTGGGTCTACGAAGCTGCTAAAATGATTTTTATAGTGACATTGAGTCATGGGCCAAATGGTGACTGGATAACATGCTAATTTTACTCCTGTAAATGGGACACATGAAATGAGACTCACAGACTTGGAAGAAAGAATGGAGAGAATGCCATCAGCATGCACAGGAGACTTCTCTCTAACATGAGTGGTATGATTTCTTTTAAGTTTAAAAAGCAAGAAAGAAAGAGAAAGAAAATTCTTCCTGCCTCACTGTTATAGATACAA